ATGTAAATAGAGAACTGATTATGCTTCTTGTTCTAAAATGGCCTTTAATTATGCAGAATAAGAATGTTGTTTTATATTATTTAATGCTGGGGGGGGGGGGGGCGTTTGAAAGGAAGTGGGGAGGAAATGGAGAAGACAAAGAGGAAACCCCTAAGTAGTTGTAGCAGGAAGGGAACTTTGCTCCCATGGTTTCTTGGCAGTTGTTGCCAATCGATGATTCTTGCCTGATGGGCATAGTTACGTGAGGACGGCCTAGTTAGTAATTTGTGTCAAGGCAAGTATATTATATTTCTAAGGCTCACCAATTTTCCTCTCTCTAAAGTAATCAGGAAGTGAAATCTGTTTTAAAATAATGAACACCGCTCTCTCAGCACAGTGAGAACATCTTTTCAAAACTTGGGAAATAGAGTTGAGTTAGTTTAACAGATGTCAGGGAGGGGGAGGAGTGGTCATTGTAGGACCTAAATGGGCAAGCTCTGGGATTCCTTTCTGAAATTGAAATATTTTTGTTTTCTAAAGGTTTCAGACAAGGTGGGCAATATGGTCAAAGTTATTTAAGGAATATTAACCTGGCTGGTGATGTGGCAAGAAGGAGTTAGAAGGGAAAACTCTGAAGAGAAGCAGTGCAGTATAGTGTTCTAAACAGCAAAACAGAATGTGGAAAAAAATGGCAAAAGATGTCAGATCCAGTAGGAGAATGGAAGGACCAAACAGGCCTTGGATTTAGCAGCCTGGTGTGAGTAAGAGGCAGCGATTGGAAGGAATACTGAGTGAAGGTGCCAGAGAATTAAAATGGTCACTACTGTGGATAGGATAGCATTTAAGACCCTGGAAGTCCTGTTTTCATGATGAGAAAAATGTCATTGTCTCTGCTAGTTTAACAGATGTCAGGCTCTCTACTTAAAAGCTTTTATTTCTCACCGAGGCTCTCAGTTCTATGGGGTGCTGGGCGGGACTTGCCTGATGTCCTAAGTGTGGTTTATTCAGCTTTTATTACCATCTCCATACTCGAATGCCAGCTTTAACCAACCTGAGGCGCAGGCCTCATTGATGAGCGGAAGGAATGCCCTTTATTCTCTGCCTTGCCAATCCAGTTCTTCTCTAAATGTAGGCATCGGACCCTGTCAAAGTGTGGAAGCCTTCCTACGCTCAGGGACAAGAATTTCCTCTCTGCCCTGCCCTTCCCACCCGCAGCAGTCTTAGTTTTCTTTCATATTTTTTCAGTTTACCATTCAAGGACCCATGCTAAAACGCTCTTCCATTCTCCTGTGTCTCCCTCCCTGCCCCTAGCAGGAGCATCTCCCTAGTTTTCTCATAAGTGCCTTTCTCTAACCCCAGTCTCTGGGTACCTTTGGTTTCCCCAATAATCATCTTGGCAAGTCTAACAGGTGATTGGGAGATGAGTGTGTGGTACTGATCTTCAGCTTCAGTTAACCTTGTCCAGGCAGCCTGTCTTAAAACCCTTGGCTTTGATCCCTAAAGATTACAATTGGTTGTCCTAAAACTCAGCTCCAGTGAAGCCATTATCTGCAGTGCTGGCAAAAAGTAAATTAGGTACTAGTTGACATTTGAACATATTTAACTATACAGATGTATTTAGTCTCTTCAAAAATGATCACCTCCAACTGGCATCACATAAGTTATCGTGTTAGCTTGGAACAGTGGGACATCCCTGCTATCTGTCTTTGCCAAGATCCTGTGAGTCCTCTTCTGTTGCTTCATCTAGTGGAGGCAACCTGGATAACTGAGAATTTTGTTTCAATTTTTTTACTTTTCCAGAGTCTTAAGAAAATTTGGAAGTCATTTAAGGTCTTTTTATAATCCTCCAAGCCTGTGTTTCCTAGGTAACATTTTAGTGTCTCATTTTGTACTTATGTACATATACATCATACAATCATTGACTGATTTTAGTCTTTTTTGACCTGAATTGATTAAAGTAATATTTTTTTCCAAATAAAAGTGGTATTAAACTGAAAGTTGATTGCTTACATTCTGACTTGAGTTTCTTTTAAAATACTTTACTAAATGCTTAAAAACTGGAGGGAAATATTTAGAAGACCCTGTATTGTATGGCTTTGCTTCTTCAAATCCGTTGTGATTTGTATAACCCAAGACTACCAATGAATTTATAAGGAAAGTAAGTTTAATTAAAATGTCAGTTTCCTACATGTAATTACTTGTTTCAGAGTGTGAAGGATTATTTCAGGTAGCATTTTATGAAACCCTGGAGGGCACTATTATGAAATTCCCATAGCAAGGGAAAGAATGTGATGGATTTGACAGAGCTGTTTGTGGAGTTTTGCATGAAAACGTCACATCTCATACAGGTGTTCAGTATGTGTCTTCCTGGAACTGCCTTTGGATGCTGTCATATTTCAAGCTGAACTGGCTAAAATGGTCCTGGGAAGGTCACATATACGTAGTCAGTGACTGTCAGCTCATGAAAAAAATGAGCCATAATTGAATCCAAGAGTAAAACACTCTTCACGATCTCAGTAGAATGCTGGCATGTGGGAACCAAAGTCAATCTGTTTCCTCATGCATGAGTCTGTGCTCCATTGATGGGGATAAGAAATGTCCCATTTATGGACAAGAAGGATATAGGCTCAGTGTCATCTAGCACTGGGGACGAGGCATGGTTGCAAGATTTCCTATAGCTCAGGAGGCAATCTGCCAGAATTAGAGTTTTATCACATGAAGATACTTACTGGAATGGTTACTCTTTGCCATTCCATTGTTCTAGAACAGTGTTTCCCAAACTTCTCTCTTGATGAGAATCACCTGGTGGAGTTGTTAAAATACAGATTCCTGAATCCCAACTAAGAAGTGCCAAACTAGAATTTTTGGGAACATATAAATTAAGTATACAATTTTAGGTTAAGTATACAATACATATAGGTTAAGTATACAATTTTACCTATATGTTCCCAAAAATTCTAGTTTAGCACTTCTTAGTTGGGATTCAGGAATCTGTATTTTAACAACTCCACCAGGTGATTCTCATCAAGAGAGAAGTTTGGGAAACACTGTTCTAGAAGATATCTTTACATTTCCCCAACTCTGTAAGATAGTTTAGATTTGCTAACATCTCTCTCTTTATTATCTGTACTTTAATAAGTTTTTCAAACCCCTTTGGTCCTAAGTCATCTTCCCTAATGTGAGGGGACTGAATTGGCACTAAAAATGTATGTTTCTACTCTGATGGAGGAAGTAATTTTTTTTATTGTGGTAAAAAGTACATAACATGAAGTTTACCTTTTCAATCATTTTAAGGAGTATACATTTCATGGTGATTAAGTACATTCACACTATTGTGATTCAGAAATATTTTACAGTGGAGGAAGCCAAAAGATATGTAAGAATTCACATAGAAATTTTGTGTCAGAAGCTGTGCTGGTTCCCAAAATACATACGTATAGGAGATACTTTGTGTCTGGGTAAAAATTTTATGATGATGTGATTTTCTAGTTACTATAATAAGGGATAATTAGAAAAATACAGTGGAATTCTCTGTGTATTGTATGTGGCTGTATTCAGCAGTTCACAAAATACATACATGGTTATACACAGCAAAATTCATCCTTAACATTCTTAGGTTTAATAGTTATGCTTCAGGTATTTTCAAGCAGCCCTGGGGGCCTTTCCTGTGTTTCTGATTTTGCTGTGGTACCGACATGAGGCTGCTTTCAGGGCATGGGCCCAGCAAGCCGCCCGCACCTGCAATTCAGAGGCTATTTGGTTTTTCACGTGTTCTCAGAACAGTACATCTCCAACAGCAAAAAGGTTTTGGGCATTGGGATTAAAAATACTCTGTGAAAAGAGCTAACTGTGGAAATGATGTGGCTTAAGAAAACGGTGGTTTTTATATAGAAAAGGAATGGCTGTTTCAGAGCTACCGGTCTTCCCAGAAAGTCCTTTCTTGGCAGCTGAAGCTACACGTAGAGGAGTGGGCTGTGTGGACCGAGCTCCGCCTCTGTGCTTTCCTGAGCATGTGCTTCTAGAGGAGGGTAGCAACCCTCTGTGTTTAAAGGGACTAAGATTATTCTCCTTCTCTTAAGAGAAACCTGGCTTATCCTCAAGACCTTCTGTAATAATTTTTTTATTGCTGCACAGTTACCACAAACTTAGCAGCTAAAAACAATGAACGTATATTTATCATCTTACCGTTTCCACGCGTTGGGAGTTCAGACAGTACAAGCTGGTTTTTGTCCAGCGCCCCACAAGGCCTTCATCACGGTCTCGATTGGAGTTGCATGTCTTTCAAGAGCTTAGATCCTCTTACAAGTAAATGTTATTAAGCAAAAATAGCTTATTGGAAATGTAGTTCATTTGGAGAGGATAATTAAGGCCCTACCATCTTTGTGTAAACGATATGTTAATTTCCTTTAGATACTAAACATCAGGGGAAGACAGGAAACATCAGGAAAGAGTAGATGGAGAAAATGAAGAACCTAGATAAACTTCACTTCTTAAACAATGTCTTATTGCTTTCGACATGGTCAAACACACAACCTGGAATAGTATAATTTTTGGAGTACATTGATAAAATAGCACCAAGATAGCTCTGAATTAATTACTTAATTCATATTTCATCTTTTAAAAAATGAGAAAATGTATGCAAAGGTGGCATAATAATCATGAAGATATATATCTGAAATCAAACAATGTTAAAGAGAATAATCTTATCAGTTTGTGGGTACACAATATACATTTAACAGCTTCCCTATGTATTAGATTGCTAGCTTTTTATTTTTATTATTTCTCAATAGACCTGTTTGATTTTAAATGTGTTGTCATTCATATATTCATGATATTTTTATGTCCTCATTTCTCACTATGTAAAATAAAATAGTATTTAAATAGTTTATTATCTATTTTAAATATTGTACTATGATACCATGTTATCTACTTTAAATATTGTTCTATGATACTCTACTTTGAGAATGAATGTAATGTTTACTTTTATTCATCTTTCATTTTTTTTTTTTAAATCTCATTAGCTAAGGAACCTTTCCAGCTTGGACCTACGTCATATCACTGAACTGGATAATGAAACCGTGATGGAAATTGTCAAGAGGTGCAAAAATCTTAGCTCTCTCAATCTCTGTCTGAACTGGATCATAAATGACAGGTAACACATGTAATATCTTAAAAACAGTTTTCCAGAAGAAAATATGTGTTCTACGTACCAAATACTAATTATCATTATAACAAGGCATGCCAACTTTAAGGAAAATTTAAGGTAGCTATACCTTTTCAAGTAGATGTTTAAGTTTTAAGAACCTAGCTCTTTATCTTTAATTTATCCACTGTGTGTATTTGCAACACGGTTTTTATATGCTAAGTTTGCCTAAACAGTTGTAACAACAGAAATCTGTTTAATTTTTTTCTTTGTCACCCATCCAGGATATATTGCTATTTGTTAACTTTAATATATTTGCTCACTTATCAAGGAAAATAATTCTTAGAAATTGTTTCAAACATTATACACACAGATCCTTTCTCAAGGATAACATTTTGTTCTCTGTATATGTACATATAATTTTTAAAGTGGAGGTCGTGTGATGGACATAGAGTAAAAAATGTGTATAACTGGCAGGTTTTTTTTTTATATAAACAGTGATAAAACTATATTTCTTTGAAATGTTGCATGAAGGGAAAAAAGATTCAAGAACCCTTGATCGTAGACTTTTTTTTTTTAATAGTGAAAACAACTGCAAAGTATTTAACTACTGAACCATTACTGTTAGTTTAGGTAGGCTCTTATATTCAATACATAGGCACGAGACAGGTTTTTGCCCAGTAACTTTTCCAGACTAAGGTTCCTTTTAAAGATAGACCACTAAAAATATTTTGCTTTCAAAATAGAAAGCACAATTTCAGCTAAAATTAGAACCTACTTAGATTTAAATATCTTTTCACAGATAGCAACAATAATTTAAGTTTGTGTCTGATAATGCTTTAATTTTAAGACACTTTCCCCTTCTACTTAAAAAAAAATAAAATTATGTAAGTTTCACCTCCCTCCCCTTTTAATTTCCTTCTATACTTTAAAAATAATATTGCACAGGATCTGTTTTCCCCAACTATGGCTATTCTAATTACGTTTTCTTAAATTACCCTGCATTCCTCTTTAAAGTATGTAATAGCCTTTGACTTGGTTCTGTCTTGAAAAATTTACTAATCTAGAATGGACACATAGTCATCATTTATAAAATGTGTTTGTCTTTTAGTAACAGTCACTATATGAAATATATCAAAATCTAAAGGAAATTGATAAAATTTTTAAAAATAAAATTCTCTATAATGAACATCCTTCATAACAAATTATATAATAACTTTAAAATCTTTTAAATGTGTTTCATAACAACTAATAAAATGAAGTACATAAAAAATTATCCTGTGGTTTACTAGGTGTTTACCATAAGCTCAATATTGAGATAAACTTCTTAGTAATGCATCAGATTAAAAGGAGAAAACTGTTTCTGCAACAAAATGATTATGAAAATGATTGTCTTTTATTCCACAGCAGTTTTTGGTGTATACCTGCTGTGTAGCCAACTCAGGCACTCAGAGAGTAAATAAGATAATAATATTCAGCCCAAAAATTATTATATGGGTTATTTCAGGACCGTTGTACTGTAAACAGCTTGCTTAGATTTGTACCATCGAAGCAAACATATTTCCAATCCGCAAGCCTTCTTAAAGATCTTAGTTTTTACAAAGGAAACCGTTCTCCCTTAGGCTCCCTCTACCAAACCTCTTTCCGTCTCCGTCAGTTTTTCCTACTTAGCTGTAATGGTTATTTGGTATTTGGTCCTACATATATGTGCTGTAGAGATATAGTTTCAGGGAATAAAAGTGTGTTTTTATGTTTTTAATGGAAAAGTTTGGATTAATTGAGAAAACAGGCATTTTAATGAGGCTGAGCAGTAGAGTTTTAAAGATCAGACTCTTAGGTTTTAATTACACTGCTCCCACTTACCCTGTGTACTATAATCAAAGTTTCGAACATTCAAACCCACTTTGCGGTATCATCTAAATTACTCATCTCATTGTTCTTGCCATACTCTCTCACTAAGCTAAGTAATAATTGTAATTATATTGGCATAAATCTAGGACTTCCCATCAGATTTAATTATAATTTTAGCACTTAGCTCAGATGGGTTAGTAACCTTTCATATAGAGGGCACTGGGATGCACTAATGCATTTAGCCTATCAATTAGCATCTCTTTTGCATCAGTTCATTATTACCTTCTAGTAAATCAGAAGCATTTATGAACCCCTACTAAATACTTGGTCCTGTGTGTGTCTGTGCGCACTGAGTCCCTGCTGCTCTCATGGTTGCTCTCTAGGTGGCATAAGACATAATGAGATAATAGTGAACCATATATGGAGAAAGGGGAGAACAGTAACTTTATTACCCAGGTAATTAATAAGCACTTTGCTCATGTCCTCATTTAATCCTTTTGTTATGGTATTCCTGTTCAATGAAGAGGATTTGCTTGACTTTTCTTTGGCTTTTCTGATGAATGTATTTTTCCATCATTGCTGCCTTAAAAACTGGTGAAGACAAATAAGAAAAAGCAAAATAGCTAATGAGTCAGTATTTCATTTCATAGTTGGGATTCACACACAAGTGATACTTACATGTAAAATTTTTAGCTTTTTTAAAAAAGTTAATCTCATTTTCTCTCATAATTAAAGTATGATAGAACCTTTTGATAATATGTTGTACAGTATATATAGTATATGTAAAAAGGATCTATGTTTAATGCTTTAATAAAGGATTCCTTTGATACTCTTCTCAGATATTAGATATAAGTTTTATCCTGGATTTAACAGTTTTTAAGACATTCTTTTGAAGTTCAAAAACTTTAAATATGTAGTAACTGACGGTCTTGACTCTTCGGCTCCTGGTGCCTTTTAGCATTTTCAGGATCTTGAATTGATCTGTGTGACTAAGACATGCTGTTCTTTATCTTTGTTTTTCTAAAAGTACTTTTTGTGTGTTTAGAGTTAAACAGCATGATATTTTCTTGTATTCAGAAGGATGGTCTAGTAGTCATTTGACATTTACCATTGCTTTTGAATACAAATACAATCTAAGTGGTTTATAAAAAGAAGACACTGACTATTTCTACCAGTGATTTAAATTAAACATCTGGTTTTTATGTCTCCTCTTTTCTCTTTGCCTCCAAGTTTATTGAAATGTTTATTTGTATTTGATATAACTCTTTTATTATTTCACATCCAATTTGGTTTTCATTGTTTTGGCACAGAGTCAAAAGCAGCATGCTTTGAATGTAAAAAAACTGATGTGTGAAAAAATTGAATGGTTCTGAGTACTTTTATAGTGATATGCTTATAATGGCTCTTTTGTTCTCTTTTGCTAATAAGAAGTAAGTGAAATCTAATTGATTTTAATAGATCTTTACAAAATACATTTTTAATATTTAAATGGGCTATTAAAGAGGGAATTAATCTTCCCATTTTCAGTTTTTAACATTAGTCCTGAAAACAAAGTTCAGTCATATGATATATATGCCATTATTGAATACATGATTCTTCCATTGACAGTAGATCACCCTTTCTCATGAATTAAGAGTAGAGGATAACAATATAAGAAAATTGAGCCGAAGCCGGTTTGGTTCAGTGGATAGAGTGTCTGTCTGTGGACTGAGAGGTCCCAGGTTTGATTCTGGTCAAGGGCATGTGCATTGGTTGCGAGCACATCTCCGGTGGGAGGGGGGGTGCAGGAGGCAGCTGGTCAATGTTTCTCATCGACGTTTCTAGCTCTCTATCTCCCTTCCTCTCTGTAAAAAGTCAATAAAAATATATTTTAAAAAAAGAAAATTGAAAGATTCTCGAATATCCATCAGTTAAAGTCACAAACCATAACACAAGTCAAGCTGGTTGTTAAAGTAAATTATATTGCCAAGTAGTTGATCTTGCCTAGCTAGAGATTTTTGCTTTGTATTTGCAAATTAAAAAAAAAAAGTTACATTTATCGAACATTCTTTAAGGAGTTAATTTGCTGTGTGAATCTTGTGTTTCTGTAAAGGAGACTATGGCATCAGTGGGCACGCTAAATAATTTTAAATCTTAGACTGTTCTGACCAATTTATTTCAAGTATAAAATAACATTTGTAATATGTTGGTATTTCACTTTATGTATACTAGTGTTTAAAATACTAACTATAGATATTTTCTCTTTAAATAAAAGTTTTAAGATCACTTGAAGTTGCAAAGTTATGGGCCACAGCCAAGTTCAGTCCACAGAGCTGTTTTGTTTGGCCTATATGATATTTTAAAAATTGAATTATTTGCCAACACTTTAAACATTGGCATAGTTCACATGAAAATTGTGAATTTTAGCCTTCTCTTGGAAAAGTTGCATGTCTAGCAACATTGGACCACATTTCCTCATGTCAACAATTTTCCCAGGATGAGGAATGTGCTGTTCTCTTTGGCCATTCTCCATTTCTTCACCATTCCAGCATCATCTATTATTTCATATTATCTGCCTGTCTCCACCCAATCTAATATTCTCCTTTATTAACATTCAGATTGAAGAGATTTTTAAGAATTTCTCATTTTAAATTGAATGGGTTTTAAGATTGAGTCTGATAAAATATATTCAGAGCTAATGGAGTTAATCGGTTTACCTAAATTGTTTCTCCATGATTTCAGGCATCAGAACTTTGGCCAACAGGTGCAAGTTACAGGGGAAAACAGGACTCAGCTTAAAATAAGTTAAAACCTTTATTTTCATTGACTGCCTTCCAAAAATGAGAACTCACTCCCACTTAGGGTTCAAACAAGAGTGTCATAAAAGAAGTTTCCTGAATTATAAAGAAAGTTGAACTACTTTACTGAACTCCTTCGACTTTCAAGCCCGTGATTTAAAATAAATTTATTTGCAATGCTTAGTATTTAGCTCGTGGTTCCTGTGTTTATAATATTAAGAAAAATCTGAATAACATTCTTTCTCTTTTGCTTTCCCGTGTAGCCCTCTTTAGCCTTTTAGGAAGACTCAAGTTGAGTGCGGAAAGTGACAGGTTCCTCACCACCCCTTTCAGGGGGACTGACAGCACCCTGGCTCACGTAAAACTCAAGGTGGCATGCTA